TAGAAATGCATTTGAAAAACTTCTAAAAATATTTTTCACGACTGACGATTTTAAATTTTATACAAAAAAAAAATATTTCTGTATAATATTAAAAATGATGAATCCTTTTTAAATTATTCATACAACTTATATTCTTCACGAACAGATAAAAAATATGTATGCAATTATGATAACCATAGTTCAAATAAATCAACTTTTATAATAAATGAGAGTTTTTAATCAAACTGTTTTTGTAACAGATATAAGTTTTCAAAAAAGCACAAATGAAATGAATTTTTTAAATGCGCTGAAAATAGTTTGATAAACATTATTTGAAATAATGATAGAAAAAGTGGGGAAAATTTTCAGATAAAAGTATGCCGAGATTAAATTTTAAAAATATTTATAAATTAGTTTTTTACGCTCCCTGCAAATCTTTAGAGCAGAGAGAATTTCAAAACTGACAAAATAATACTTAAAAAGATCTCTATCCTTTTTTTTCATCAGTTGAAAATCACGTGTATATAAACAGGAAACCTAAAACTGTTTAGAGGGTTGAAAGAATGTTCAAGTTTATATCATCTTTGATCCAAAAAATGAAACGCAATAAGAAATTATTTGATTTCAAAAAGGAAAACTGTGAAAAATTTATTAAAGTTATAAACATTTTCTTCTATTTTGAAAAAAATAAATATTTCAGCCTTAAATCAGAGATTTTCGAGTGATGGAACTCAATTTTTTTGCCTAAACCTCATTTTACCTGTGGAAGATTTAAGTAAAAGTGGACTGCACACTAAAAATGATCCGATTTTTGCTAAACCAACATTTTAAAAGCCTTACCACGAAAGAGCTGGAAGAAAGTAGCTTGGCATATCAGATTTTAAATCATTTATGGATTACCATAATGATTACCAATATCACTGGAATACATTTTTACAAAAAGCGTAGAAAGTTGGCAGCCTTGCTTACGAAATAAACCGAAAATCCCTTCCACATCTTACGAAAATGAAGCGAGCTACTGAAAATTATTTTCTCTTTTTTCGTAATCCAATTGTAATGCGAAACTATTAATATTTTTTATTTCATTTTACGCGAAAAAAATGTCTTAGTTGCCGAAAGAATTATGTTTTTATTGGATCTCAAAAAGTATATTTTCATTGTCGTATTTTGTGAAGAAAAAACTCAGACATTTTAGTAAAATTGACCTGCCATTTTAAACATTCTTATAATTTAATCTCAAAAGTACAAATGTCTCAAGAGTTCAAACGCATATTTTAGAGATAGTATTTATATGAACTGTAAATATAAGCCATATTTTCTTTATTGGAGATATTTATACAGTAAGTTCTTCCTTCTTATTGTTTCCTGATAGGTACAGTGCTTGAAATAAATAAAAAAAACGGATCACCCTGAATAACTTTTGATCTAATGATCGGATTTTCACAATCAAGAACTCATTCTTAATGGTTTAAAGGGGTAACCTCAAATATACTATTTAGTAAGTGCAAATGATATTTTAAGTTACGAATTTAGATATAAAAAGCACTTTCTCTGAATAAACGTACCTTTTTTTCAATGGATTAAGATTTCTGATCTCCAATGTTATAGGGGGGGGGGGTTGCCGTGATGTGAGAACTAGGGTCCCAATAGTTTGGTCAAGAAAGCTGTCTAAAGTTTGAACCCTTTAACGTTAATTTTATTTTTCGCGTATTTCGCTATATCTCGAGAACATTTGAAGCGAAATGAAAAATTTTTGAACAACCTGATACTTAAATGCAAAAAATAACTTTCAATAATAATTTATTATTTTTTATTATTTTATTTAATTACGGTCGGAAAAATGAAGAATTGTACGATGTAATTGCAATTTTTTACATCGTTTTAAAGAACATTATTTAATATAGTAAAATACAAAATTTGTGCAAAATCGGTTGAATAGTTCCTGAGAAATTGAATTTAAAAAAAGACAGATGCTTATAATTCGATTTCTCAGGAACTATTCAACCAATTTTGCACAAATTTTGTATTTTATCATCTGAAATTATATATTTTATAAAATGATGCAAAAAATTATATACCTTAAAATTCAAAATTCTTTAGACTCATATTGAATAAAATAATAAAAAATGACAAATATTTATTATACGTTATTTTTTGCATGGAACTATTGTTGAATAAACGCATCATTGTGAACGTAAGGTTTTCAATTCGCTTTGGAATTTCTCGAGATATGCAAAAAGTAAAATTAACATTAAGGGGCCCAAACTTTGAACCGCTGTCCTGGCCAAATTATTGGGGCCCAGTTTGTGATTGGAGCCAATGAAGAGATTAATTTTTTAATAGACGGGTTCTAAAATGGGAAAATAACCAATTTTAGAAGGGATTTTCGTAAAATGTTTTAGAAGCTTGCGCTTTGTTTTTGTTACACCCAACTATAATCGTTGCTTTTGATACAAGATTATCGTAATTAGAAACTATAAACATTCTCAAAAAAGGTATGAAAGGTATTACCAAAGCTTTGATGGTAATTATTTTAAAGTAAGAGTCCCTTACTAACCCCCATGCTTACAACGCATTCAGCTGTAGGCAATCATTTTGCTTAAATGTTTTAAAATTAATGTATAAAATGTATAATATCTATGAAAGATTTTGTTTTCTTTATTCTATTCCAGTTTTATGCACTGTGAATATGACAATTTTTTTTCTTTTTACAAAAATTCCTAATTATTTCCGATATTTTTAAAACTATTGTACGACGAAAAAGAAAAAAAACACTAAGCGTAATTCGTCCATGCATGACATATCAACTCTCTTCAATAGTGCCGGCTTTTTTATGGAATAGATTGTCCATCGATATTGATGTTTCCAGCCTCCTAAGTACTGAACATATGAAAAATTTATTTCCGAAATTCAAACTTTAAATAATATTTTACAACTTATTGATGTCAATATCTTTTTCTACATGAATTAGATAACTAAAGATTTATTTATAATTATACTATCATAATTTATCCATATTATTATAATTTATTTATTACTATACTTTATATTATAGATTTATAATAAAAAGATTTTTTCATCAGTTAAACACGTTCGTCGATAAAAAAAAACTCTGTCTCCATTAAATTTTTGAACTGCTATCTTACCATAAAAATTATTTTATCCGTGAAATATGCATGCAATAGAAAAAAGGAAATCAAACGTATATTACTTCAAACTCAAGGGGGAAAATTCACTCAATGGACCGGAATCTTTAAATACGTTCCGCCATATTAAATGTGTCTAGCCAAAGTGTTTTTTAAAATTAAAAACATATAAGGCTAAAAAAACGTAAAATTGATAAGTGCATGCCTAAAATCAACCTTTTGATGTTTTAATATTAAACTTCTTTTTTTTTCGCTTCGTCTCCCTATTTAATTTTTGTTCAAAAACAAATCTACCGTCTCGATAGAAACTCTACCAATAGATTCAGATTGAAATCTCAATCTTTAAGTATTTTTCAGTAGCTCAACGTCTCCTTTTTTTTCGTGATAAGTATTAAAACACTAACAAATCAAAATGTTTTGTTTGCCGTTAACGATTTCTTTTCTTTGAAATGTTTCAGAAAAAACTCTGAAATAATTAATTTTGAATAGTAAAATACATGTAGTAGGACAAGACTGTAGACAAATATATGCAATAGACATATATATATATATATATATTCAAGGTTTGCATTATTTGTTTTTTTATCTTCTGAAATTCAGCTTAGTTTATTCACTTTCAGTCCATACTAGACTTACTCAGAATACAAATTCAGAACACGTCCAGAAGAATGCAACCATCTGACACAACACCTAATTTTAAAGCTATTGTTGTTAAAAGGTCAGTGTGCGGGTGGGTGACCACTTGGATCAGTCTGCGTAGGGACCGAGGGTGATCGGTATTGGTCATCGTTAAACTGTGCTACCTTAAAGTGCTCGACTTCGCGCGCAGGCCGTCGGGCTACGGAAGCGGNATATATATATATATGAGATATAGAACTGGAAAAGTTCACACACATCTTTGTTTTTGACTGAGCATTTTTTAATATTTTTTACTAATTTTATCTTACAGCCCTATCAGTCTTGTTAAAAAAAATATCGATTCCTTCTTTCGTTTTTTTTCGATAAAAAGCTCTTCAACCTTAATCTCATATATACTGTCATTATTTATTTGTATGGGTCACTCTCTATCAATTCTCAAACGGGGGCGAGTGTTCTCACGCTTTATGATTAAGAAAATGATGAAGAAAATGTAGAAGTAGATAAGGATTGCGCTAGAAGTAATCACCGGTAAGTTCTTTCTTTGCCTGAAGTTAGAGACCCATACATTTACTCTTGATTAAATTTTTACACCCACCACTGCAACATTTTTTAATTTGTTTTTAAACATTTCCTAACAGATCAGCGTTTCATCGGTATTAACATTTATAAACGTTTCATAAGCCTATAAGCATTTCACCGGTATTAACATTCACAAATATTTCATTAACCTATCAATATTTCATCGGTATTAACATTCCTAAACATTTCATAAACCTATCATCCTTTCATCAAAATTAACATTCAAAANATATATTAATATGCGGTACTATCATGGTTGTCAACTTACGTTTTCTCAAATACAACGAATTTGTTTGCTTAAGATTGAAGTTCTAATTTCATTTTAATACCACTGAGAAAAATGATAATGGATTAAAAGTTGGCAGGTATGTAAAACCTATTAACATTTCATCGGTGTTAACATTCATAAACTATTGCTTTTATAAACATATCCTCATTTCGTCGGTTTTAACATTCATAAACTTTTCATAAACGTTTTCAACATTTCATTAGTATTAACATTCATAAACTATCTTTTTTTAGATAAATGTGAAAATTGAAGTTGGAAAAATTAAACTGTAGATCCCTTTCCCTGATAGTTAATTTTGCAATTTATAGAGTACTCAAACTATTGCTTACATTACAACATATGCACCCATTTATTTGTTGTTCACTTACTGGGACAAGTAGGAGGTTCACTTCTGAAGTACACATGCTCTTGACATAGACCTTGGACCACTTGACCAGCTGGAGTATCTGGCCAACACTGCCAACCATCCCAAGTACGAGGGCAGAGGATGGTATCTAAAAGATAAAAATATACCCTCATTTCATTGTATTACGTATTTAGAGCGTAACAAAATTACTTAAGTAAGGCGTGATAGAATTTTTTAAAACCAACTACTGTCAGCAAATGATGTGGGGCCGTAAAGCAAAGGTCGTGCCATGAAAGGATGCTTTCCTTAGAGTAGAGGAAACCTCACATAACACGGCCTTTAACTGCAATTCATTGATAGGTAGGTATGTACTTTATTTGCGGTCGCACTAGAGTCGCACAATGGGCTGTTGGCGACGGTCTGGGAAACATCCCTGAGGATGATCCGAAGACATGCCATCGCAATTTCGATCCTCTGCGGAGGAAACTGCTTCCCTGGTTTTGGTAGCCCGGCCACCTGCGCTCAAGGTCGAGCACTTTATGGTAGAACAGTTTAACGAAGACCGATTGACTTCGGTGTTCTAATGTTAACCGTGTCTTTACGATCAGTCTTCAGTATTCGAAGCATCAGTATTCGAAGTCATAGTGACTTTAAACGGTTATCTTGAAGAAATGGCAAGATTGCTGCCCAGCAATCACGAGAGAGCTGTCAATAAGTTGGGAGGGGGAATCACTGTTTGATTATCAGACTATATTCCAGGAGTAAGACACTGCTTCAATGAATAGAGAGCTGCAAGCGTTGAATAAATTATACCCAGAATTTTCCACAGTCGGCAGGATTATCTCTGTCATCGATGTGAAGTCTGCATGGCATGTTGTGGTCACTCATTTAAATATTTGTAGTGAATTTTTAAATAATATGTATGTTAAAACTTTTCGTCCTTCTTTAATGTATTCCATTTTCACCAAAAACATGCCCATTTACAACTTTACTTTCCACCCCCACATTGTCTGGTAAAAGTTCTTTCTTGAAGTTTTCAAGACCATCAAAGTATATGCAGTTTTGTTGTTTCGTCATTCCGGTACATGTAAGGTACAAACACATTACAAATTTGTAGGGGAGGTAAAATAAAGATTGAAAATTGCATTGCAATCCATGAACGGAAATTACATCTCATCTGGTATCTAAACTATCCTAATATTCTACGCCTATTACTTATTATTTTTAAAAATCAGAATACAAATTAATGAATAATTCAATGTTTTGTTGTAATTTATTTATTTATGTTGGTTGTAATTTATTGATCAGGCAGTTAGTTTTCAGAGCTTGCAATTAAAACAGTCAATTGAGATAAAACAGATATTTCTATATCCATCTGATTGCAATTTTTGGCAGCTATTATTAGAAAGCATTGAATTATGATTATTTAGATAAATAACAACAGTTCAAATGTGCACGAACAGCCAATTCGTAAAAGGAAAGTGCCTCTAGCAGGGAAAGAAGAAATTTCCAGAAATGCAAATTTAAATCCTTATGTTGTCCTATGTTTTATTTCAAAGTGAACAGAGTGGATAATTGATATACTACTAAATCAAGCTATATAGAAACAATTATTCGCTGATTAAATATAGTTTTGGGTGCTAATTTAACATTTTAAGAGTACGTTTTAAATTTATATAAAATGCATAATGTTCCAAGAAATTTTCAATTGCATATGTAATTAATAATAAAATAATGGTTCTACGATAATAATTACTAATTTCTCAGGCACTGTCGAAAAAATCTCATTAAAAATATTTAAGAATTTATTACTTAAAAATTGGATGCTTTAAAACAATCATTTTCTAAAAAAATAAATAAATAAAGTGTAGAATAACTTACACGGATTAAATCTCTATAGTCTTTATTTGCGACATTGATATTTGAAAAGCGAGGAACTTTAATTAAATTTTTTGAGTTTAAGAGCGAGGATGAGTAAAATGATGTTTTGTTCTCGAAAACCTAATACAGTATAAATATGGAACTTGTTTTTAAACGAAAATTAATTTTTTTATGGATTCAATGTTTTTTAAATTTCTGACAATATTAAGAAATGAAATATTAGGTATTTAGTAGTTTCATTAGAATGATATTTCACCTAATGAAATATATTATTAATACTTAAAATGCAGAACATTTTATTTTAAAAGGTAATTTCATTTCATCGTATAAAACAAATTTAATTTTAATTATGGTTTTGTTTATGAAATGCTACTCATATCTTTTCCTTTAAATAGTGGCGAAATTTTACATTAAATATTTTCATACGAATAATTTGAAAATTAATCTCGAAATAACGATAATGTAAGATAAAGGAATATATTATTTGCTCCTGACAGACAATTATCTCGATTTGAAAGATAAAGCAATTTTAACTTTTGTCACTTTATCACTTGTCCAATATATTTTTATTTTACAACCGGTATTGAACAATCGATCCATTTTAGGTTTACGGCTGTCTAAGTTCAATGTTGTAGATTTGCACTCTGAAGATAATGGGACTTCTGGATCATGCGTTAGGAAAACTCACCTTCACGGAGGAATTTTTCATGAAATTAACCCGTCTTTTCATTATACGGAGAGAAAAACCTCGAACATCTGCCTCGCGGTTTGGCGAACGGCAAGGGAATTCTAGTTTAAAATTCGTCTGCCTTTGGGAATATATTACTGCCTGCACTGTGATCGGAATCGAACCGGGAACAGTATTGGAATTGCCTGAATTCGAACAGCCATTGCCAGGATTCTTGCCTAGTTTGCCCAATTTAGGTATCGCATTATATCCTGAGACTGAACAGAGATGGCTCAGGAGACAGAGCGCTCGCCTTTGTTTCATTTTAAGTACATTTCACAACACGAGCAATAATTTTATCTTTTCCCCAGTTGGGATCAATATAGGTCTTATAAGAACAAGCACTGAGGAATCAATATTGTGATGTCTACATTTCTTTAATATTGCTCATAGAGCTGTGGTGGCTCAGGGGATAGAGCGTTCCAATGAGCGTTCCAAGGCCTTCCAATGAGGTGAACCGGATTCGAATCCCAGCGATGGCTTGCACCGAACACAGTGCTGATATAAAAAATATCCTCAGGGGTAGACAGATCATGGGTTAGAGTCCCCTTGCCTTCAGGCTTTCAGTGATTTTCCGCTCCATGTAACGCAAATTCGGGTTAGCTCCATCAAAAAGTCCTCCACGAAGATATATTGCACCCAATACTTAATCTAGAAGTTCCCTTGTCTTCTGAATTCGATTCAAAATGAAAAAGCTACGGAGTTGAACGTTGGTAGTCGTATACTCAAAATTTGGGTCGGTTGTTCAACGACGGTTGGAAAATAAAATATATCTTGAGACTTAAAGGCTTTCTTTGTAACGTTTTCTGAATCAAATGACTAAATTTCGGTCGTAATATTGGATAGAATAATTCAGTGTTGACGGTCTAGCAATCATTGAAATAACAGTGCGCTCTTGACACAGCGTTTTCGTTCCAATGGAAGGGTAGTTATAACAGGGTCGTATTAAAGAACGTTGACCGTATTTTATATAAGTAATTCAAGATTTTTAACTAGATGTTCATTTCTCGAACTATTTGTTCGTTTCCATATTATTCGGACACCCAATATTCATTTAGAGACCGCTGAAATTTTAAAACATCGATTGCGTAATCATTTGTGAAATTACCGTTGTCGAATTGCCATGGTTCGGACAGCATCTTCCTGCAACAGTGAAGGGCAGCCCTGCAGCAGGCAATCCATTTCCGTGCGAACAAATCCGACTGAAATGATTCGTAAACGGGATGAGTAAGATTCTCTGGATCAGCAGTATAAGATTGATTCGTCAAGGGATCCACTAGTAATCCAGTGTACTCGTCATAACTGCAAAATTAAAACACTATGTTAAATTTGAAGAGTTAAGTGGAAGAACGAGGTAAAAGACATTTTAGGGGTATTTATGAATCAAAGTGCGGCATTGTGTACCACATATGAATATTTGTTTATAACATAAAAATATTTTATTACATATGACCTTGGCAAAAGAATATACATACGTTAAATATTTGGCAATCAATATCATTAAGTTAATTTAACATGGTGTATTTTTGTTGAATTAATTACTTTTAATTAAGAATAATGGTTGTGATTTAATACTACCTATTTAATGCAATTTAGTTTGTGTGTCAACTAAGCTATTTTATTTTATATATTACTTCCACAATATTGGGCTTAAATATTTTAAAGAACTGTTTATTAGAATATTAATTTTATTTTGAATGGTTAATATCTATGTGGAATAATTCTTAGTTTAATTCTTATTAAGAAAATATAACAATATTCTTATTCTATTTCACAATTGTTTCCCTGGTATTTCCTCGTTTGAGAATGGTTTCCTTTGATGTTGCTTTTATATTGTTACCTTCTTAAACCAAGTATCCTTTTCTCGTGATCATAACTCTGTGCTCTTTTGTGCAGGAGAATTCTCTCATCACCTGTTTAAGACTAACTATAATTTAACTGTCAACAGCTTCCATAATGTTAACACCTGCTGTCCATCTCTGACCTTTAAGTAGCTTTAATCCTTTGTCGGTAAAAACCGAAGGTTCTGGAACATTCTTTTTCGTTCTGCGTCACCTATTTGGCCGACCCAATTTTATCTTTAGTTTTACCCTCTTCTTGCCAAATTTTGTTTATTTAAATTAGAATCTTAAACACTTATTGGAAGCACATTTGTTTGCCGGGCCAACCATTTATTCGCCAAAGAAGCTGCCACAAAAAGAGAGGATAACGTGATGCCATCAAGAAAACATTCAATTTTTCCTTCACTAATTTCTCTTCTTCTGTGGGATGATGATTCCTTTATACTTACAAGGGAAACTAGGGAAGTGTGACTCGCCAATTTTGAAATAAACTGGTGGGATGTATGCCTTATGAGGAATAATTTTAGGGGGGTTTATGAGGAATAATTAGTTTCGGCCCAAAGAATGTCCTGTGAGCGATAAAAAATAATTCAATATATAGAAAAATCGGTATTTTATTACTTCAATGCAGACTATTAGTTATTGTAATTGTCTCATACTCCAATTAATTTGTAATTAATTGGATAATTAATTAATTTGCTAACTAATAAATCAATCAGAAAATTAATTATTAATTAATTGTTAATTAATTATTATTTAATTGTTAATTAATTATTAATTGATTTGCAGTTACGTACTCCAACTAATTTAAAAAGTTTTTTGAAAAAAATTTTTTAAACATTTGATGTAATTTTTTTTTTAAATTAAACTAACAGGTTTTTCTGAAAAACTACAGATATATAAAAGTTTCGAAATCAATTTCGACAATAAATATGCATTATATAGTACGTGAAAGTACCACAAAATTAATTGGAGTATGAGACAATTGCAATAACTAATAGTCTGTATTGAAGTAATGAAATACCGATTTTTCTATAGATTGAACTATTTTTTATCTCTCACAGGACCTTCTATGGGCCGAAACGAATGTTTCCCCCTAAAATTATTCCTCATAAGGCATACATCCCACTAGTTTATTTCAAAATTGGCGAGTCACACTTCCCTAGTTTCCCTTGTTAACTGCAACTGATGTTGCTTCAATTTTCTTGTGAGTGTGTGTTTGTTGTGAGTGATGGAGCTTAATAAATAAATGTTTTTGTCATTGTAAAATGTTCACCAGTCATTATTGTTTTTTATTTTCCTTACTTAGCATAAACCTGAGCTAGTAATGGTTCTTTTTTAAACTTAAGTATTTTTTGTTTTCAACCTGGCGTATTCTGCCGGATCTGGCGACACTCGCTTTGTTTCTACCCTATACTTCAAATATAATTGTTCTAAATTCTTATGTTTTTCTATTTTATAGTTTCGGCCATTTAATGTGTAACTTTTCATTAATAATTTTTAACACCCTCACTCTGCTGAGAAACAACATAAGGCAAAGAAATAACATAAAGTGGTTACATCCATTAGCAAAAATAAAGACAGTAGCATGTACTGATATATAATAATGGAGGGGCTAAGATCCCTGTTTGCTACCACTCAACAACCTCGATTATTGCTTCTCTAAAATTGTTGTTTCTTGGCAAAAAAAAAGTTTTTTTTAATTAAAGTTAAAATTATTCACTAAAAGGAATTCTGTTTGCTTACGCTTGTGCCTCCACTTCCCAAGTCCAAATAATATTACCTATTAGTATTATGAATATTTAGATCTATTGGGGAATAAAAGTAATCATTTTTTAAAATAACATTTACATTGTTATAACATTACGTACTGTTTAAACAAATTTAATGAGTTTACAACCGTAATTTAATATTTTCGCTTACCAAACGGGCGGATATATTAAATACTATTTTTGCTTCAATCTCATTGTGCATGAAGCTGATCGTTTAAGTTCTAAATCATTTAACAGATCTCTTTAACTGTAATTTATAACAGAATATTAATGTTATTGGCACAAAAATATTAATGGCAAAACGGTTTTATAAGATTAGACCACCTCTCTAAGAAATCTATCACAAATAAAATTAAAATAGTGATGATATTTTTCAAATTCTCTAAAAAAAATAATAATCAGAAATTTAAAAAAAAAGTTTAAAAGTACAGCATTGGATTCAGAAGTCCTGTCTACCACTAATATCCTTATTTATTTAAAATCCTTGGGTCATAAAGCTACTTAAACTATTATTCTAGGTGTCGAAATTGTTTTTGGTACGAGTAGTGTGCGTTTTGACACTTTTCAAACTCCCCTAAGTGAAATTCAAGGTCAAAGCCAAAAGAGAAGGGAAGCGAAGGTCATGACCCCAAGCAAAGTTTCAATGGTTGAGAAATTTAAGCTAATTAATTTTAAAAAAATAGAATTTTTAAAATGGTTCTTAGACTAATGAAGGTGTAAAGATTATCTTCCAAGTGTAAAGGGCTACTTTTAATACCAGAAAAATCTACAAATTTCTCACTCCAGCTATTGCAAATCACAAAATAAGCACATATTTTTAAAACACTTTTTGAATTTTACAAAAAGTTTTATTATAAAAAATATCTGTGAAATGATCAGTTGTTTTACCAACAAGCAGTATTTTGAAATGACGGACCATGAATGTTTAATAAATTACTGAAATAATAATAAAGTATAGATAATCTTTAAGTAATTGACTTTTTTATATCTATACATAACTAGTCTATATTATATAAAACGCTAATACGTACGTATGTATGTATGTATGTATCAATAAAACCGATGATATTTCTTTTCTCGCGCTAGCAACAGTTTTCATTTTTAATTTATTGGATTCGGCGCGCAAGAGCACGTAGTGAGCAACCAGATAACAATAACCAGAGTGAGCATTATCAGGTTGTTCAATTCAGATTCATGCACTAAAAACATGACAATATTTAATTTAAACTCAATTAGGNTTACTGAAGAGTAGTCATAATAATGAAAAAGAATCCATTAAACTGCATGATTCAAGAGAAACATTCTAAGAAATTTTAAAAGCAGACAATTGAAGATTATTTTTCTAAGAAAGTTTACGTATCTATAAATTAAAGCAAAATATAAAAACAATACAATGTTTTGTCAGAATAAAAAACAGTTTGGTGATCACAAACAATTGAAATCAGTGATTTTTGCTAAAAGTCACTGATTAGGATTGCGTAGCAATTCTCGGGGGTTGGCGAGCGTTAGCGAGCAGGGGGCGGAGCCTCTTAGTTTTATCTTAAAATGTAATACAAAATTACATTATAATAATAGTAGAAAAAAACAACAACAATTCTCTTAGTTTTATATCTTGAATAGAAAGCGCAATATGATAGCAGTACAGGAAAATAATTTTAAATTAGGGATACAAAAATATTGATCGAAAAACAATACCATTATGACTTTTATTTATTTTATGCAGAGAGTCCTTCCTTTAATTGTAAATGCTGTAATTTTTTTCATTTTCTTTATTTTCTCCCTTTACTGTTTATTACCCTTTATTACATATTTTCATATATTATCCAGAATTCGATTTCTTAAAGATTATTTTCAATTCATTTATTAGCTTTTACTATAAGTCCCCCCCCCACTCTTTTCCACCCCTCAATTGTTTGAACTCCGAAGAAGAAGAAGAAAACTCCAGAGTTGTCAATCACAATAGCTGTTGTGAATGTCTTAAATACAGTTCTGTCAACTACAAGGCGTTTTCGTAAAATTAATTTATAAAGGATGTAGACAATAAAAAACTGGAGCTTTCAGATCTCTTGGTAATTTTGACAAAATTTTAAAATCCTCGCCAAGAGAGAATTAAAATAAAACGGCACTTGAAGTGAACTTTTGAATAATTTTATGCAGTAGTGTGGAAAATGATCTTCAATAAAATTTACGAAACAAAAAATCATACATTACGTGAGTAGTTTCCAATTTTTTCAGCTACGTAACCCTAAATAATCAACCTTCTTTCGCCGGAAACCCGACTTCATAAATAAAGTTTACTAATGTAATTGTGAACGTTAAAACTACTTTTTAAATATTTAATGAAATGAATGAAGATTTTATCATTAATAACCTTAAATTAGGTTTTATGTCCGACAGTTAAATGTGCTTATCCTATATTTAATCTAGAAATAAATTTGTTCTTGTTGTATATATTTTACTGTAAATGACAGATATTGGTTTTTGTTGACATCCACCCGTGAATGCTGACCGTCACTTAGGTAAATGTCCGAAATATTAACTAGATTTAGTTAAGAGCCATTGCCCGGTATGCCCTACATCAATGTTTTTTAAGGTTCAGTGCCACTGCCCGGTATGCAGATATTAAAATATCGAATAAATATAATAATATCAGCGAATAAATGAATATCAAATCAGATATAACAAATAT